TCTTGTGTGAGGGGATGTGTTAGAGAATAATATAAATCGTTAAAAAGGCCTTCACCTAGCACCTTAACTCCTTAAGGTTTTGGGTTAAAGTGGTTCTTTGGGTGTGAATGACAACCTTTCCGGAATCAATTTTTTTTAATTTCTGTTCCCGGGAACATAAATGGATATGAAACTCGTTTGGTAAAACAGGTTTATTTTTTTGTTCCCGGGATGAACCAGATTAATTTTTGTGCTGGGGAACAGAAAAAAGAATCAGAAAATTTCTGCTTTTTGTTCCCGGGTACAAAATGAGACACACTTATCTCTCTCAATCACTCTCCACCTCTACCATCATCATCACCACTACCACCATAATCCCGACACTACTGCCACCATCATTGTCGTCGCCGCCATCGTACCACTAGTGCCGTCGTCACCACCCCTCACCACCACGATGCCACCGCCACCACTACCACCACCTCCACCCATCACTACCACAATGCCACCGTCACCACCACCACAACTACCGCTGCCGCCATTGCCACCACCATTATCACCGTCACCGTCACCTCCACTACCGCCATCAACCACCACCACCATCATCGCAACCACTACCGTCACCGCCACCATCGCCATCACACGCCACTGCCACCACCCTCATCGCCACCACTACCACCACCACCACGACGTCACTACTACTGTCACCATCCACTACCACCATCGTCACAGCCACTACTGTCACCACCACCACCATCGTCACAACCATTACTGTCACCACCGCCACCATCACCACCATTACACCACCCCCGCCACTATCATCACCACGCCATCGCCACCACCACCACCACTGTCACCTTCCACCACCGCCGCAGCCACCACCACCACCATGATGCCTTCACAACCACCACCACCATGCCATTGCTACCATTGTTGCCGCCACCAACCACCATATCCACTACCACTGTCGCAGCCACTGTCGTCACCTCTACTAGCCACTGTCGTCACAACCACCACCACTATCTTCACCACGTCACTGCCACCACCACTACCGTACCGCTACCACCACCACCATGTCACTCGCCGTCACCACCACCACAACCACACCATATGGAAAGGAAAGTGATGATCCAGAATTTTTTTATATTTAATAGGAATTATTTTTATTATATTATTTGTTGTGTTATCAAACACAATTCTCATTCTCGGAATAAAAATAGAAAATGTTATCAAACACATTTTTTTTCTCAGAAACTGTTCCAAGGAACAGAAATAGAAAAGAATTGTTTCTTTGCAGAAACAGTACTAGGAAATATAATGGTTGTCATGCACACCCTTTACAAATGGAGTGGAAAAATATCATTATACCATTGTTTGGATATTTTGTGATAGAATGTGTTTTCATTCCTTTGATTGAAAAGTGAATGGAATGGGAGACTTGGCACAGCTCTAGTCGCCATGTGACTTTGAAGTTATAAATTTGAATCATGTAAGCAACCTCTTGGCTAGGGATGTTCATGGAGCGGTTATGAACCGGTTTTGACAAAACCGAACTAAACTGATTTTAAACGGTTTGGTTTTCAAATCGAACCGGTTTTCTTTTTTAAAATCGAATTTTAAAATATCCAAACCGGTTTAAAACAGATTTCAAAACCAGTTTATGGTTAATAACCGGTTTTGATTTAAAATCGGTTTTACTTCCGATTTTAATTCAAAACCGGTTTTAAATAAAAAAAAACCAATTCAAAACTCATTTGTGGTTCAAAATCGGTTTTAAATAAAATCCAATGCAAAACTAGTTTCAAATGAAAACCTGTTTAAAAACAAATTTAAATAAATTTAATTTTAAATCAAAATCACATATGGATAATTTGTAGCTTATTATGGATTATGACTAGTTATCATTACTGTCAATTTTTTAGGTAAATGGAGAGAGAGAGAGAGCAATAACCACCGAAGCACGGACACGCGGTTTGAAAAAAAAATTGCGTGTCGGACACGTGTCCGACACGGACACGGTCAACACGTTCGGACACGCGTCCGACACGCGGTCAACAATTGGGGACACACGGTCAACTCTCCGACACGTTTTTCGGACACGCGGTCAACTTTTTAGGACACGCAGTCAACGTTAGCACACGCTCGGACACGTTTTTTTTTTTTTAATTTTAATTTTATTTTATTAACTAAATATAAAAGAAATAATTTATTAATTAATTTTTTTCTGTTATAAAATTTGACATGAAAAATTAACAAAGTACAAAAAATTATTTATAATTATATTTATGTTATGAAATTTAAATATTTGATTGGTTATATGACTTATTATGGACTCTTATATGTATTAACTATAAATTATATTATATATATTAAAAAATTTATTTAATATCAAAACGTGTCCTAACGTGTCCAAATATGACATTTTTTAGAATTAACATGTCGGCGTGTCGTGTCGTGTCGTGTCTCGTGTCCGTGCATCATAGGCACTAACCATTACTACAACCAAAAGAATGAAACAAACTGCGAGCATGGTGAATATAACTCGTGTACATATATTCTAGCGAACTGGGTTTCTGCTTTGAATGGAAATAAGCTAACTGGGTTGTACATATATTCTAGCGAACAATATTGTAGAGGGCAAAAGCTTTACCATTTTCATTTGGTATTAGTCTCATTCTTTGTCCAAGCCTTTGGGAAGACTTAATTTGCTCCAAATTATGATTAGTTTTGGATAAGTTAATTAGGATATCCAAACTGTTTTAATAAAATCAAAACTGAACCATATCCAAAATATAAAATCCAGTTTGGTTTTGAAAACTGTTTTAATAAACTGGTTTTTATGGAGCAGTTTGGATTGGATTTCAAAGTGGTTTGGTTATTTTGGATTTTTTGCACATCCCTACTCTTGGCTCTTGCAAATGCAAAGTAATGTTGCCTATTATAGAACCACACAAAGGGTCTGGTTCTTCCTCGAACCTATGCATAATAGGAACTTTATAGCATTAAGTTGCCCTTTGTTTAAGAAATGAATGAAATAGTAAAAGTTATAATTTTGGGGAAGAAATATAGAGGTATGAAATGGAACGAGATTTAATCATGTTTCATATTTTCCATTCATTCTATTACATTTTAAACAATTATTCCCCTCCATCTCATCCCTTTCCACCAATCCAAACATAGCCTATATCTTACATATTATTCTATTATTTGCATCGCACTATTTTTAGTATATGTTGCTTGTGGTGTTTGAATTCCTTCACTTCCTTGGAAATATGTATGCCCATTCTCATTATTATAAAAATTTCAAACTCTTTTCTCTAACAGTTTTCTAATTATTGTCCAAGTTATCATTCATAATTCATGAGCGATGGCATCCCAATTTTTGTTAGATTTCTCATTATCTTCTTCAAATATTGATAATAAACTTTTTATGAGAAAAAGTCTACCTCCTTCAATTTAAGGTTGTATTACTTTGGTTTTTGAAATGTACAACATTATTGTTATACTTTCTAACATGTTCATTCTCATTCTTCCGTTTATTTTTCATCAATCTAACATAATTTGTGATGTTGGAATTATGTTTTTTTAGTTTCAGAGCCAAAGTCCAAAATGACCCTAAGTTTGAGAAAGTTAAATAAACTTTTTAATCGAGAAATTTGGTGCAAAAAATGCTTACATAATTTGAGCATGACAATTTATGCTAAAGTTTAAAAAAAAAAAAAAATAGAGGGAAGGGCGAAAATACACACTAAACAGTTTAGAGATCACGACACGTTTTCTAAGTTTGAAGATCAAATTCAGGAAACTAAGTTAAAAGGGATATTTAAAATTTTCCCTTTTATAATGTAAAATACACTAAAGTGCAATTCTTGACATCTGTTATTGTCACGAACCATCTTCAATTTAAGTTGACTGGTTTATTGCTTCTAATCCCATTTCTTAAATGACAAAAGTGCATAAGCAAGTTATTTATCCGTAAGGATGGGGGTCATAACATAATCATTCAATGAATACTAACTTTAACGGCTAAAATAAATTATTCTAGCATAACCAGGAAAAGTTATGTACGAAATTATAGCATATGGTACTTTTTCATCTTGCTATACTTGATATTTCCCACGGACACGCATACATATTGGAAACATATGTATGGCACAATGTTGGGCACAGCAGACGAGCAATTTTACACAACGTAGCCTGTTTAAGACCCAGCTTTTTAAGTTCATGGTTTCGGTTATAGAATCACCAGGATATACTTACCACAGAAAAAATTCACCATCTTTACAACCAATCTAAGCACTGTTAATTTTTGTCAATCTAACGGTTAAATTTTTGTTGGGAATAATAATTAATTAATAAATACGATTCAATAATTTACAGACGGAGATCAATAGTAATTAGGTTGATTATAAAGGTGGTAAACTTTTTTAATAATAAGTATATCCTTCCGGCTTCCCCATATAGAATATTGGTTGGGTCTTTTTTTCACCTTATTGATGTATTTTGGCCACAAGCTGGTTTGGGTCTCGGACAGCCTTGGTCTTTTCACGCAGAGCCATTGGTGGATGAAGTGAACCCACACAGAAAATTCTTGATCCGAAAAATATTCAGTGCTACCGAAATATCAAGCATTCGGTTCATCTTTTATCAAATATGATAAAAAAAAATAACTCATTTATATTACCCCTATTTTTATGGCTATTTGAATTTCCTTTCATATACTTTTCTTTTTCTTTTCTTTTTTCTTTTTTTTTTAGTAAGGGATACCTACTCCGTTGCCCAGAATATATGCTCCTGCTATTGGTTCAGTAGTTAGAAAATGAAAAATTGAATGCCCTTACTACCGTAAGTCTTGATTCTTGTGCAATTCGATATACACAAGGCCTATGCAGCCAGTGGAATAGGAATCCTCCAGAAAAATTCAACAATGACAAACGATAATGTAATTTCTGAAGGAAGTCTTCTAACTTCACTAATGCACGAAACAGAATGGAATATGTCAAACTAAAATCCATATTTCCGGGTTGAGAATTCTTAGTATTCGTTCCATACTTCACTCCCAGAAACGCAACTCATATAACTCACTGGGGGCTAATTTTCCAATGGGAGGAAAGTACCAATAATGATTAAAAAAATGGGATCAAGGAAAGTTGGGAAAAGACCTAGCTTCGTCACTGTTTGCAATCCAGTTCAATGTTACAACCACTAAATATTGCAAAATCTAGGAGAAAATCTTGGGAGAAGGATAATTAATCGCCATGTAAGCACCTACTACAATTGCATTGAAAACCAAAACCTCCAAATAATAGTTCTTGCCGAGCATCACGGTCCAGGCTGGCATCAATATAGCAGATTCTGAGTTCTTCGCCTGCAGTTACCAAAAGAGAATTATAGTCCATCAATGATAGTTACGTGAAAGCATTTCAAATCAGCTAGAACTCAGTTGCTCCTCACCAAGACCACTATTATACACTGTTTCACTCTAGTATAAAATCTTAGAAACTGAAAGTGACATTTTATTTCTAATAATAAAACATAATCACAAATTCACAACACTTGCTTTTCCCTAATTCAAGTCTACAATTTTTTTTTCCTTATGGGAGAATAACTATGAAGGATGCATTGAAAATTTTGATGAATCACAAGGATGATAAAAAATAAACTAAACTTTCTTAGCATGATCACATATTATATATATAGCTGAATAGCTACATTCTATAATGAGATAAACCACATTGGCATGTTGCGTGGTCAATCAAAACTTTTATATGTCCTTTAAGCTCATTACAATTAACTTCTGATTCCCTTTGTTTCATTAATGGAACATTAATTTTCTTCTTTGCACTTACACTTTGTATCTCATGTAAGACATTCCAGAGGCATTTGATAGTAAACTGTACTTCTACAGCCTAGAAGGAGCCAAATCTAAGAAAATTTCACTAGCAAAAGCAAGGAAAGTAAATACTATAAGATCTTAGGCCAGGTACTGGATTCTATGGTTGCTTCTCAGGATTGGCAAATAACATATTTTCAATACATATCCTTTAATATTTTCTCTTTCTTCAACCAAAATTGCCTTTAAATATAAAAGAACAATAACAATTAAGCCTTAACTCACTAGACATCGCAGGCTACATGGATCAATCAACACTATGGGCTCTATTACAATTCAAAACAAATTTTAGTAAGATCATTTAGAGCAAAGCCCTTTTTTAATGGTTACACCTATAAAGTATTCTATCATCGATTGATGTCATAAAAGATTTGATTTGACAAAGGTTTGTGTTGACTGCCGACTACCTAACACAAACCTCCTCTAATATCCAGGCTTTGGACCAGCTCTATAAAGTTTGGCAACAAAACATGACATGACATAGGCAAAATTGCCTTCCAATATGTAATCAGAAAAATCTCAGAACCATGAACGGTCACGTGTTAATAGATCACATTGAGCATAATTTCTTCAACAATCACCAAATGCACTAATTGCTGGATGAGTCAACCTACAGAATAACAAGGGGAAAAAAATTTAATTAAATAAAATACAATTTAGGACAAACCTTCTTCAATGTCACGGAGGGCCTTCAATTTTGCATCGGCATTATCTATCCATATAATGTGTGCATTAGGATCTGCATTACCAATAAGTTAGATTGCTTCTCAAGGTAAAAAGACAAGGTTTAGGGAGGTGAGCTCTCTCTCTCTCTCTCTCTGTGTATGCGTGTGCGCTTGTGTGTCTGTGTAACCTTTCAGTTATAACTTCTCCTAAACATGGAATGCAAATATTTGTTAAAAATGAAGTTTTCTCGTTTTCAGTCATCTGTGCTTTATGCATAATTTAAAAGATCTTCCCCAGAAAGAAATCTCGATGGAGCAACCACAAAGAAGGGAAAAGAGAAAAGGACCCATTTTGATGACAGAAATCGAGGAAGGTAAAAGAAATTGTACTCACCACAATCATGATTGTAGAAGGATGGAAGTATATACACAGCATTTCCAACAGCAGCTTCAGCTTCTACAGATGCAACTGCTGATGAAAGAAGATCTTCATATAGTCCTCCAGCCAACTCAATACGAAATGCATTGATTCGAATTCGTGCCAAAACGCTAATGTACCATTGCCTGGTTAAAACTTGAAATGTCAAGATAAGTAGTCTCTCAACTTATATCTCTCTGTTCTCTCTATGTATGTGTGTGCTGTGTATCTACTTCATACAAAATGTTCCTGACACAAGGAGGATACAAGCAATATGTTCATCTGCAATCAGAGTCTTTGTGAAGGCATTCCTTAGTAAGGCAAATTCCTCTTCCATCTGAAAAATGATCCCATGCATAACAGATCACAGCAGTAAAATACTGATGCCAAAGCTGTACAATCATAATGCTTATCATATTTTAAACATAAAAAACTGTTTAATGAAAAGCAACCATTTAGCAGAAAGCTTGTCCCCTCAACACTAGTAATGTGCTAGGCAGAACTGAGATAAGGCAGATGAAAAATGCAACCTAGTTGGACATAATATAAGTCTATACACACTTTCCACTTTTGCATTGTCTGCCTTCCAATTTCACTTATACCAAGCACAGCCTAAATTAAAAGAATCATAAACAAAGCTACTAGCAAAAAGGAAACTTCATTCAAACATTACAGGAAAACTGATTGACTTCCATTCATAATTTGGTTTTCATTGTTTTAAGAAGAAACCTGCCAAGCAATATAATTATTATCTAAATTTTATTATCATTATCATAAACTTCTTAGTCTCTCACCTCTAAAATCATCTCAGGTGTCAAATTGGCAGGCTGAAGTATGTCAAGACTGTCACTTCTAGCAACTCCCGATACGACCATGCAAGCCAACCGCTTTACGAGAAAGGGATATTTCAAACCATGGGTCCTTTGCAAAGAGGTCAGATAATTGTCACTGATATAATTTAGTTATAATAAAATTTTAAATGATTAGCAAGGTATTAAGTGTTAACAAACAATGAATGTTTAAATAATTTATCATTTGGGCTATCCATCACATTCAGATCAATTAGAAATTTAGTAAGTATATTTGTGACAAGTGAAACTGCTCTAGACAATTATGAATAATACATCAAGTTTCAAACACCAAAGAGAAAGAGCAAAAGTAGTCCCATTAACATAATAATGGATCCTCTTATGTTAAAATCTCACATGACCTGGTCATGTAAAATTTTTGTGTCTATTTCTTTTTTATTAATGATAAGTGAACCCCATCTATTTAATGCATGTGAATAGAGATATATACAAAAATTTCACGTGACCAGGTCATGTGAAATTTTAACATGATAGACTCTATTCCCCATTAACACCGAGGAAACAAAATTATGTATAAATCTTTGTTCACATGAGAGGTTTAAGAGATTGTTGGAAACCCATCACAATTGAAGATGACAATCTTTTGATGCCTGAGAACAAGCTTTCATACCGGCAATAGTCATCAAAAGCCGTCCAATTTGCTTTCATCTCGAAATCGTAATATTCCTAAATAATATCAATATATCAAAATAAGTAAGTACATAGCTGCGGAGGAGCAAAAATACATGTTGTTCACTGTAAAACTCATATTACATTTTATGCTCATAGATTACTAGTTGATACAAGTATCTAAGTTGAGAACATACCTACCAGATAAATAAAAGTAGAAAATATAATTATGACCGTAAGTTAGATATCAAATGTGGCATATTCCACTAATCAATGATTGGAAATCTAATAATTTTGAAAACACGAAAGATAACAAGTTTTCAAATATGGATATGCAGAGAGAAACGCACCTTGCAGCGTCGTTCGCAATCTTGGCTGCAAAACGACACGCGTTGAGGTTCGGAGTTGGTGCGATTCGCGAGCTTAGCGAGGCAGGAGTAGCAGACGGTGTGGACAGCGGAGGGAGAAGGGTGGCACAAGGCGGGTTTGGCGGTGTGGATGAGATCTCCGGCAGCGATCGGCCGAGTGGCGAACACGGCGCGGCCGACTGAGTCGGTGAGGGCAACTCGGATTGGCGGCGGAGTTGTGCGATGGTGGTGTTGCGGTGGTGAGGTGGTGGTGGCGGTGGTGAAGGAGAATGAGAATGTGAAGTGATGAAATGGTGTTATGAAGCGTGAAGCCAAACGGTGTCGGATTGAGAGTGCCACTGCCATTTTTTCTACGTGTCTCTTTAGCTCATCTAAATTGCCAGAAATTGTGTTCGAAGGTTATGCCTAAGCCTTTGTTTATATATATTTTAAGTTACAGATATCTTATTCTACTTATTATATTTTCTTCTGTCTATTTATCATTCTCGCCGTTAGATTAAAATCTTAACAAGAGAGAAAAAGATAAATGTTAATTAAGATTCTGATATAATGATATCGAAGAGTAATAAGCAAAAATAGGCAAAAAAAAAAAAAAAAAAAAAAAAAATGATACATAAAATAATCTATTCCTTGTATGATGATGGAAGGAACACTCGTCTCTCGAATGAGTTTTAACTATTCCTAATTCCCTATAATCCCAAGTCATAATAGCCAGCTGCTCTTACTTTTATCTTTATCAATGTGCTTTTTGTAACTGTTGATTTATACAAGGACTACTCAAATTATCTCAGCAGACATTGTCATTACAATTGTCACAATTGATATATTCCAAGTTTCACACTCTTGAGATAAGGAGTTGGTTATGGGAGAATGAATACTCATGACTCTTTTATCAACATTATCATTAAAATTGTCACAATTGATATATTCCAAGTTTCACACTCTTGAGATAAAAGGTTGGTTATGGGAGAATGAATACTCATGACTCTTTTATCAACATTATCATTAAAATTGTCACAATTGATCAATTTACTTCACATGATGTGATAATATTATAAATTGATGATGTATTTCGGCTATGGTGTTTATATATATTTTAGCAATATTATTTGATTAAAAATTTATAACGAAGAGTTGAAAGTTCTAATTTACAATCTTTTTGAATCATGAGGATTGGTTTAAGTGGAGTTTCGGAATGGATGAATTGACAAAAGAGTAAAGATTTAAATTATAAATATAACTTTTAGGGACAAAGCTAGATAATTATCACGATTGCTCGACTTGAGATTAATCTCATATCATTGTCAGCCTTTTTTTCTACCCGGGTCCGGTTTACCTAATTATAAAAAATTGGCATCATAGAATCTTCTTGAACCCTTAAATTGTTAATCACTTACCTACTTCCAAGTGGCATAAAAAATATAAAAGAAAGAAATAATTTCATACATGGATTAAATTCTTATCAGCAAAAGGTACCGAACAAACTCAACAATCAATAGATGCCATCTATTAGGCCCATAATGAGCAATAATATATTACAATTACAACAAATGCATTATACATGTTAAGTAACAATTAGCATCAACCATTTGTTAAGCCCCTTTAAAAAAAAAGGCATTAAACAAGTACAAGTTTGCATATCATCTATGCAAGGGTGATCTCCAATCTAAATCCTCATCTGGATAATCTTTATGTAGTTCCTGCGGTGGTATGAAACAGTCCAATGACAACCCTGGGACATTGAATGCAACATCATCAATAGTCCATGACTCTTGCAACCTTGTAATGGCTGGTCCAGCCTTCATGTTATCCCCAAACCTGGTAATCATCACTGTTGATGAACCAGCATGTGCAATCATCACACCATCCACTGCTCTATAATCTTCAATTTTGGTTGACATTGTGGTTTCCCAGTACATGGGGTTAGTCCCTGGAACTTGAATCCTTGTTAGGTAAGAGTCTTCCAAGTACACCAAAAGCCCACTTCTTTGGCTAAAGTAACCAAATATAGCATGCTTAATCATCTCTGCTGTGTTATCACTGCGTTCAACAAGGTCCTTCTGATCTGCTGATAGTTTCAACACAAAACAATCTGTGCCTGAGATTTGCTTCTCCCCCATGTATTGTGCAGCACAGAATACTGCAGACACTGCCAAAGGGTCTAGTCCCTACAATGTACAACCATAATGTCATTTAAGGTAACATAAACAAAATCACTGATAAAAAAAAAACTTACGAGTATACATTAAATTTAACTCTTATGTTTTAGTCATCTTAGGCGTTTTGTTTAAAGTCAAAATAAATTACACATGATGGTTGATGATCAATTCATATATGTGGAGGAAGCTGAGAAATAAAGAAAAGGAAACACAGGAATGTAGTTAGATCAAACAAATGAATGACATTTAGTAGGTAAACAAATATCCATTATATTGGCCGGTAGCATATTATTGAAGCCTTTTAGTAATTAAAATGGACATTAACCAGCATTTATGATTATTTAAACATATTTGATTAGGAGTTCACAACAATTACATATCTGTGTAATTAAGATTTGATTTCATTCTCTCATTATAAAAATGTTAAATTTTCAAACAACACCAGAACACATCAACACATTACAAATGGGGTTCATTCCTAGTATTTTATATCATAAAACTGAACCCCACCAATTCATGGAGCTAGGGATTAGGTCTTAACACTTAATTTTTGTTATAATTATGGGGTGACAATGACAAGTGGGGTGGGGGAGCCCATGCCAAGGGACCACCACCAATGGGGGTTAAATTAGAACACTGACATCAAATGGATCTGACATCATGTCTCCACCAATGGGCTAAAGGGGATCATCGGCATCAAGTGGATCCGACACCATGTCTCAACAAAATAGGCTAAAAATCTTAAGGCGTTGGGTTAATAGGTCCATCCACTTATATTCACTCTAGTTAGCCCGTTACCAACTAATGTAGACTTCATCACACTTGAAAATTCCAACATATTTTCATAGACAGCATCATTATTCCTTAATAATCACACCGAGCTGTCAATTGGAACAAAGATCCAAAAGATTAAGAACATCTTAAAGATACCACCAACTATCACCAACCAACCTTGCTTGCTCAACCAAAACAACAACAATAACAAACACAACACCCAATTGGTTGGAAAATTTAACACAAAACATGATGATGATGATAATGGTGAAGAAGAACTTGCCTGAAGAGCACGGCGAAGAGGACGCACGCCACCTTTAGCAGCGTGCACACCAAGCCAAGGGGTGTGGCGCCAAGCAATGTTTCCATTACTACCAGCAAGAACCTTTTGACCACCAACAACTAGCTCCATCTGCCACTTATCTGGAACCATTTGCCACATCACAAAGCACCCTCTTTCTGAAGCTCCATTAAAACCACCACCACCACCAGCAGTGGATTTTAACTCATCCACCACAACCATTGCCACTTTCCCCGTAGTAAAAACATTTTTCACTGTCCCCTCCAACTTCCTGCACCCTGTCGCCGCCGTGAAGTGTTGTATAATATACTGTGCCGACGATGACAACTGTAACATCTTGTCACAAATGAAGAAAACACATTATTGAACTGCCTCACCCCAGAGAAAAAAAATAAATAAATAAATAAACTTTTATATTTTAACTAACACAATTTTTAAAGTAATCAAATGCACATGGTAACCTTGGTGGCATATATGTACATAAAGATTAAAGAGTTTCCATGTATAAAGAAAGAGATTAAATAAATACCCGTTAATATTAAGACTTTTAGCTAACTTTATAAATTATTCTGATCAAGAAAGAACATTATTTCAACCATAGTTAATAAAGTAAGCAAATGAGCATGATTCTACAAAACAACTTTACATGAGGACGCATGAAACAACTTTAAAGTAAGAAAATTTATATGTGCCTGTAAAGTATAGCATACAGCAAAGGTTTCCAATAGCACTATTTTCACTTGCATGGTGACATAGAATTTAGAAAAGGGAAATGGTGGAAATGGGAGATAAAGAGAAATAGAAGAACAGAAGAGCTTGCCTCATTGAAGGGTAGTTTGGGGTGAACAGGGACAGGGAAGAGAGGGCAACCCAGAACACTGAGGAGGATCTTGAGGTTGGACTTTTTGTTGAAGACAAGGGTGAAGTGTGTCTTGATCCAGTTCCAATTCCTCCATGACTGAAAGCCTTTCTTTGAGTTATTGGTTTCTTCATCTTCTTCATTGATTGGTTCTTCTGATAATGGTGCAAGTTTTCCCATCTCAGTTTTGCTTGTTGAAACTTTGAGACACAGAAAGAGGTTGCAACTGAGGAAAATGCTTGGAAAGACACTCTTCAATGGAATAGAATAGACTCTCTTCTGTTATGTTGTCTTGTCGTTTAAGCACACGCGGGATCGGTGCGTGTGGTAAACGGTGGGAAAGGAGTGGAAAAAGATGGAATTGATGTGACCCCTAAGGGCTGAGGGTCCAATTTTTAAGATATTTTTTTGAGATTCCAATCCTTATGACTAGAGTGGTACTAACTACTAAGTGATAGTAAAATAAATAAATAAATATTTTTTTTATTTCTAATAAAAAATTTCGTTACCCGCTTTAGTCTTTTGTAAAAAAAAAAAAATAGTTGATTAGTACTTATGAAATTTAAAGTGAGATTAATATGAGTTTTTTTTGAATTTGTGAGGGACCACGATCTCAACTAAATGAGTCCACTTTGAATTTGTTAGGTATCTCGAGATTAATTTTTTTTATAAGAGATTAAAGTAGGGACCGTAATTTTTATTAGAGACTAAAAAAGATATTTACTAAAAAAAATTCGTAAAAAAATTCTATATTTTATTAAGATGGAAGGAGGATGTAAAATAAATAGAAGCATGACCACCGTTTTTAGCTTTTAGATTGCATTACTATGGTGTAGTGATCTTATTGGGAATCTTTAGCCTTTGATTTCATAGTAACATTATAACTTACTCAAACCATGTGGTTGGTAGCATGATTTAGTGCAGGTTTTGCTTGGTTGGGTGTTGAAAAACGAAATAAAAAAGGTAAAAATCTAAATAAATTTTTACTTTTCTTTGAAGTTTGACCAATTAAAACCCAAGTTATAATCTATAAAGCTCGGACTCGTGCTTTTTTTGAAAATTTGCGTGTCGGACATGTGTATCCGACACGCACACATTTCGACACGTTCCGACATACGGTTAATATTTAGAGACACGCGGTTAACTCTTCGACATATTTTTTCGACACGTAGACAATTTTTTCGGACACGTGGTCAACGCTCAGACATGCTCAGACACCTTGTTTTTTTAGTCTTAATTTTATTTTATTAACTAAAAATTAAAAAAACATTTATAAATTAATTTTTTTCTGTTATGAAATTTGACATGAAAAATTAACAAGAAAAAATTATTTTTGTTTATATTTATGTTATAAAATTTGAATATTTGATTAGTTATGTGACTTATTATGGACTGTTATATCTATTAAATATAAATTATATTATATATATTAAAAATATTATTTAATATCAAAACGTGTCCCAACGTGTTGAAATATGCTATTTTTTAGAATTAACATGTCGGCATGTCGTGTCGTGTCTCGTTTCAGTGTCCGTGCATCATAAGTTATAATTGAACTGAGGCTAATTTTTGGGGAAAGCCTTTTTTTTCAAAAAGTGTAAAAAAAAAAACAACAACAATTACAAAATTAATTGAATTGCAAAATTTTAACTTTTTAATAAAACCATATCAAATCTCAGTATCTCACCTTATATGGACAAAAAAAATGCGTGAGGATTATCTTTAGATGATGGGCAGTGGCGGAGTCACATGTATTTTAGGTGTGGCTTCGGTTTGGGTTAAATTTTAATAAATTGTATTTATTATATATAATTATATAATTAATTATAATTTGACCTAGTTAAAATTGTAATTTGGTCTGAGCTACAATTTGTATTTGGCCCTATCTAAAACTTAAAATATTTTTGGTGAAAGATTTGAGTAAATTGTATTAAGTTATGTGTTCAATTTTTACTTATATAAAAAAAATATTTTTAATAAAATTAAAAATATTTAATAAAAATTATAACTCTTCTTAGTGTTATCTGCTCAAGTGCTCTCTGTATTTAATATATTTTAAATATATTATATATGAAATAACTAAAATTAAAAAAAAAATACACATAATTTTTTGCCCGGGCTCAAATTGGAGCACGGCTTCGCCACTTATGGAGGGTTTCCTAAAATCCCATATTTGGTAGCACATTGAAGAAAAATTTTCGGAGGAAGTTATTTCTTCGGAATTTCATTTTAATCATAGGACAGGGAGCCATTCCCTTGGCTCGTATTGACGAGAATTTGACTCCGCGGGAAGTGGAACAAAAAGCTGCAGAATTAGCTTATTTTCTAAACCAAAATACCACCAAAAAATATCATCCAGAGAATGGTATTTCAGGAATTTCAGACGATTGGAAAACATGGAATAATTTTTCTAAAAAAACATAACCAAACATAATATCCGAAAAATTAACCCAATATTTTCGAAAATATTTTGGCCGATAAATAAACTTTTGTAATATTTCTGAAAAACTCATTTTCCTATCACATTTCCAAAAATCATGATTCCCAAATAAATAAATAAATTCAGCCTAAAATAACACGTACCAATTAGTGTTCATTTGTGTGTCTCTTTGAGAGTTTTATCATTATATAATTGGGCACCGGTTAACGCCATTATAATAAAATGAATAAATCAATTTGCTAACGTTCGTTAAATTTTCATTATCTTTTTCTTCCTCTTGAGATGATATATTAATCTACTAAAAAATGTAAGCGGCAGCTTTTGAAGGATGAAAACGAGCAGATTCAATTAATAAATACATTGTCAAATTAAATGGTGGTAGCTTAGTTGGTGCATGAGAGCTAAGCAAGTGGGGATGAGAGCATGTATTCGAATCTTTTCAGTACCACCTTTGGGAGGGGTTTAAAGCCTTAATCCTGAACCCGCCCTGAATCGAATTAGTTACGAAGTAATGAACCGATTGAAATATTTTTTAAAAAAAATACATTGTCAAAATGAATTTTAAATGTTACATATATTTCAACCAAAGATAAGTACTTGATTATCGAAAACATACTCAAAATCAGACTAAGGAGCACACATATTATCTTGAAAAATATAAGACCACCATTTGCACTTTCAGATATGGGAATATAGTTACTCATTTTGTATGAGATAAAATTATCTCATGCAACACGCAATACACAAAAGAATAAATAGGATCTATTAAAGAAAGGGATTTACATTTGTCATTTAACATGACACAACAAACTTTCCTACACACACAACATTTTGTGGGCCCACATTTTTGAAGAAAAAAGAAAAATTATGGAACGCAAAACGAATCTCTATAACATTACACAATCACTTTTCCTACAACATAACTCTTATAAAACCCTTAAAGAAAAGAGAGAGAGAAAATAAATGGGTCTCATCCATTTTTTTTATATATGCATGAGATAATTTTATCTTATACAATATTAGAAATTTTATATATATATGAGATATGATCTTTTGACACCGGTGTCAAATTAAAGTTTGACACCTCATCTCAGAGCCGTTAGATAAAAAAAGATCAATGGTGTCACATGCTTGCAAATCAAAGTTGTTGATCTTTTTTGATCTAATGGCTCTCAGATGAGATGCCAAACTTTAAATTTGACACTGATGTCAAATGATCTTTTATATATATATATATATATATATATATATATATATATATATATATATTTAAAATTTATCATGTTGCAAGACAAAAGTTGAGTTTCCTACACATACGTAGATACTTGTGTTGCATTTTCTTTTCTTTTCTTTTTATTTTAAAAATGGTGAACCCCACTGTTATAGACCTACATAAGGCTTATACGCTATTTTAAATTTATCATGTTGCACGACAAAAGTTGAGTTTCCTACACATACATAGATACTTGTGCTGCATTTTCTTTTCTTTTCTTTTTATTTTAAAAATGGTGAACTCCACTATTATGGACCTGCATAAGGCTTATACGCCTAAAAGGCCTAATAAAGGATAAACGCGTGACAACTATGCAAGGATACAGTTGGGCTTATGGAGTTTGAAGCCCATAATTCTAATACCTTATAGTAAACTCTACAAAAAGAAGGTAAAACCCGCAAGTATGAGGTAATCTCTCTCTCTCTCTTATTGTTATATTGTCACTGTGTGCGCACACACACCCTTGGCTAACAGCATCATAGTTGTATACAGTGATTTGCTACCTCAAGATATCTAATTCATAGATACTAGTCCACTAGCCATTGGCTAGACACTTCTGTCTCTTAGACAGAACACCACAATGGTTGTCTCTATAACATTATATAAGGATTGTCATGCAACACGATACTAGTTTTTCCATATATATATATAAATAAATGGGTTTTATACTTCTCATGTTATATGAAATCTAAAAAATTTGAGCCCTTCGATATAAGTGAGATTAACAGACAAGATTAATAGTGTAACTTACACTGGTGTAAAATAATCCTGACCTTATATATGTATATATATATATGTGTGTGTGTGTGTGTGTGTGTGTGTGTGTGTGTGTGTGTGTGTGTGTGAAAAAATATTTCTACAGCAACTTTAGATAAGGTTGTCTACAACTATCCCTTTTTAACTAAGTCTCACAAGTAAGATATAAAACTTGCATTTTCTCTCTCTGCCACGTCAGCCAACAATGTCTGAGGAGAGAGAAAAAAAGAACAGCTTTATTGTTATAATTATGTCTTACTGGTCAGACTTAGTTAAAAAGGGATAGCTATAGATAATGTTATCTAAAGTGGCTGTATAAATACTCTTTCCATATATATATATATACACACACACACATGTTATTTGAAGGTGGTTATAATAACCGCCTCAAAATACATGTTAGAGGCTGTTATTATAACCGCCTCAGAACATCTGTTGGAGGCGGTTAAAATAACTGTCTCAGATTGTCGTTTGGAGATGATTATTCCAGCGGTTCATAAAAATTGCCCTAAATTTCCTCGCGACGGTGGTAACACTGATAGTTCATTAACCACCTACTGAATCAATTAGAGGCGGTTTGAACCGCCTCAATATGCTAATACAATCGCCTCAAAATGCCAGTTTTATTTTAGTATTTGAACTCGAGCTCTGATACCACTATTGGGACGATGTCCCTCAATCAGCACAGAAGCAAGATCTCAAGTCGGCACG